ACAGCATTCCGTGTCTCGTCCTGCTAGCCATGTGACCACGGAAACTGTCTACGGACAAACACCAGCTCTATGTCTTGGAGACGGGGATGAGCACCGCGCCCTGGAGTCAGATATGACTGGACTAAATGTCAAGGGGAACCTTTGCCCTTACCTCTCCCAATGTGCAGAGTTGTGCCCAGAAAGTAAAGAATCGGAGCTTCACAAAAGTGTTTTTCCAAACTTCAGCTCATGCACAGTCTCCCATGCAACATGGTTGCTGATCATGCTAACTGGGGGCTTCAGGCAGGTATGGGCCATAAATGCAACCACTATATAACTCAGTGGCTTAGGTCTCTGAGCTGTAGAGCCATAGGTTGGAAGTTCGATTCCCCACTTGAGCCTCCATGACAGGACTCCATAGGGTCCCTTCCAGCTCTGAATTTCAAAGATTCTATTATTTCCCAGCTCCTGAGGAAATTATGTCTTATGTTGTAATAAGTGTCTGTCAATGGGATCACCAAACAGGAGGCTTCTAGTTCCAACATTCAAAGGCAACATCTAAGACAAGAGTGAGGGCCCAGCTGATGTCATGGGACTGGCCATTGTGTAACAAAAGCAAAACTCTGTGCGTAGGTGTGTACACGTGTGCGTGTATGTGCACATGTGAGATCGAGGAAATGGATTTCCTGCACTCCCTCATAAATAAAAAGGATAAATAAATAAATTTATGGGACACAGGGAAGAAAACAGATGCGAGTTGATTCGTCTGAAATGTATTGAAGGAGCGCTTTACAGATACCAAATACTGTCAGAAAGAGAAATAAGTAGGTGTTAGATCAAGTCTCACTTGCTTGAACTATTGTACTTTGTGCACATCATAGGATAAGTACTGCCTGGTTTAGTGTTTTAGGTCTCTGGCTGTGGAGCCAGATGTTGGGAGTTCAATTCCCCACTGGACCCCCTGAACAGGGGAGGAACGCCATAGGATCCCTTCCCACTCTGCGGTTCTGAGATGATCTGAGATGATAACACTCACTGGAAAAATAAATAATGGTGGGAAAAGTTGAAGGCAGCAGGAAACGTCCCCCTCTATTCAGCACGGGTTTGGCCTCACCTTGAGTCTTGTGTCCAATTCTGGACACCACACTTCAAGGAGGATGCTAACAAACTGGAACAGGTTCAGAGGAGGGCGACAAGGATGATCAGGGGGCTGGAAACCAGGCCTTATGAGGAAAGGCTGAAAGAGCTGGACGTGTTTAGCCTTGAGAAAAGAAGACTGAGGTGATAACACTTTTCAAATATTTGAAAGGCTGTCATACAGAGGAGGGGCAGGATCTGTTCTTGATCAATCCAGAGTGCAGGACATGCAAGAATGGGCTCAAGTTAAAGGGAGCCAGATTTCGGTTGAAGATCAGAAAAAAAACGCCCTGTTGAGCAGTGCGACGGTGGAACCAGTTCCCTCAGGAGTTGGTGAGAGCTCCAACACTGGAGGCATTCAAGAAAAACTTAGATAATCACCTGGCAGATCTGCTTTGATTGTATTCCTGTCTGGAGCAGGGGGTTGGACTTGATGGCCTTGTAGGCCCCTTCCAACTTCACTTTTCTATGATTTCTATGATTCTATGAAAAGGGGCAGATGAAACGTGAGATGTACTGACTCAAGGAAGGAAGCCACAGACATGAGTCTGCAAGGCCTACGGAGGATTCACGGTGACAGGACCTTTTGGAGGTCACTGACGTGTGAGGTCACCATCACTTGGAAGTGACTTGACAGCGCGTAATAACAGGCAAAGCAAACAAACACAAACATTTACATACCAAGCCTGAGATGATAACACTTACTAGAAGAATAAATAAGGTTGGGAAAAGTTGAAGGCAGCAGGAAATGTCCAGCTCTATTCAGCACTGGGACCAGCGGGCATTGGGTGCTGAGGTGTTAAGGCAAATGTTTGGGTGCTGAGGTGTTAAGGCAAATGTGAGCCACCTCCTCACATGGAAAACAGAGGAAGCATAACAATTCCCCAAGACTCCAACTGGCCCTCGGGGGCCGTGGCAGCCCAAACTTGACGACTCTAAAAACTTTATTCCTGTCTTATGGTTTAAGCAACAGAGTGGTGTGGCCCATACCCCTTGAAGGCTTAGCCTGCAATTACTTATTTCCTTTGATTCGTTTATTTTAAATCTTTATAGGCCACCTTTCTCCTAGAGCAGTGGTCCCCAACCTTGGGCCTCCAGATGTGCTTGGACTACAACTCCCAGAAGCCTTCACCACCACCTCTGCTGGCCAGGATTTCTGGGAGTAGAAGTCCAAGAACATCTGGAGGCCCAAGGTTGGGGACCACTGTCCTAGAAGATCCAAGGCAGCTTACGGTATTAAAAGAAAAGGAGGTTAAAAAATACATTTGTTAGCTTATGGCTCTGTTGTTTTCACTAACTTTTCAGCCTTCTCTTTGGGAATCCTTACAGTCTAGCGTCAACTGACTGAAAATACTAGCAGTTCTTTTAAAAAGAAGAAGCAGGAGGAGGAGGAGGTAGTGGTGGCTCTCTTCTCCAGCGTGTCATTTTCCTAAGGTTCTGCTGCTGGGTGGCTTTGTTTTACCTCCAGGACATAAATATCACCTTGAACACTTGGGCCGCATCATGTTTTAACGGTGCAGCCTTTCAAGGGATACATTGCAGTGTCATTTAGTAAGGCGTAAGTGGCAGTGGCTTTTTCCAGCTTTCTCTCTGGGGAAAGCCAATGTGTGACTTTGTGTTAACCCTTGTAGGGTTCCTTAAGTGAACTCTTCCCTCCTTCCTCTTGCAGCAGCAGCATTACTGAATATGTAAGGATCATTCTCTGTTTATTCTGACACCATGGCCGACTGGTGCTTTTACATTAAGCAAAGTCAATCGGATGCTATTCCCGGCCACTGCCTGGCGATCATCACGCGCGCCCTCTGGCCCTGCCGCTGAGCCGGCGGATCGTATCGAGCGGCCTTCCTGGGGTCATGTACCCTCCCGTCGCAAACTTTTGCTAACTCAGCTGGTGAGGAAACAGAGAGGGGAAGTCTTGTCGGAAAGGATAAGCAGCATCTCAGTTCAATGTTTGTGCTTGCGGTGGCAGACAGCATCAGGAAGGCGAGGACCATTTTTAGAAATCACTCCCTCAACGTCTGCTTTCTGGTCCCCACAGAGCCGGCCATGTCTCCCTTCCTTCGGATCGGATTGTCCAACTACGACAGCGGGCCCTACCTGCCTTCCCAAGGAGATGTGATCGATCCCTATTGCGCCGTGATGGTCAAAGAAGCCGTAGAGTCTGGTAAGTCAGTCCCCGTGTATTTCAACATTTACACATTTCTGTATATGGGGTTGCATGCCATCCAATCTTCTTATGGGGAATAAAAGAATTGTCCTAAGGAGGACCTTTATGTCTACATTTCCTGATGGAGAGACTCAAGACAGAGAGATGGAGACTCTTTAATACTTCCCCCTTTGGCAATTTTCTGGGCCAGTCCCCATTTCTATCTGTAGGCTACCTTTTTATCCGCACCGGACAAGATTATAGAATCATAGAATAATGGAGTGGGAAAGGACCTGTAAGGCCATCGAGTCCAACCCCCTGCTCTGTGCAGGAATACAAATTAAACAAGGTGTTTGTCTCAATTTTTCTTGAATGCCTTCAGCATTGGAGCGCTCACTACCTCCTGAAGTCATGGGTTCCGTTGTCGTACTGCTCTAACAGTTAGGAAGTTTTCTTTCCCCTGATATTCATCCTAAATATGGCTTCCTGTAGTATGAGCCCATTATTAATTTCCACTAAGTTGGATGGTCTATGAATAAATAAATAAATAATGGCACTCCTCACTTAATGATCAAGTTCCGTTCCTACGACTAGGCAGTTGAGTGCATGGGTTGATAAGCGAGGTGCAATAATACTATATCCTAAGGTAATAAATCACGTGCTGTTGAGAAGGGATGGGGGGAACACGCAATCCTGCATTTATTTATGAGAAGGGTTTTGAAGGATTGTAAATCCGAGTGGTCATTAAAGAAGTAAGATCGTTAAGTGAGGAACGTCTGCAAAACAAGCAAGCAAGCAAGCAAGCAAGCAAGCAAGCAAGCAAGCAAGCAAGCAAGCAAACAAACACATAAATAAATAAATAAATAAATAAATAAATAAATAAATAAATAAATAAATAAATAAATAAATAAATTCTCTTCTGGCAGACTTTGGCCCTCCAAACATTCCACTAAGAAAGGTATCTTCGATTGTGCTTTTAGATTTTTTTTAACATACTTTTTAAAATGAAATGGTTTTATTCACTTGTTATTCCAAGGCTTCATTCATTAAAACACTTTTTACTATATGGCCTAAAGTGCAGAACGGAAGGGCCGTTGCATAAGCTTCGCTGTCACTCCAGAAAACTTCATTTTGTATGTCTAGTTGTGCAACCATGTACACAAGGTGTGGAAGACCAGGCCTGCGACTGGAAAAATATGTGCATGATGGAGATGAGATGCTGACATGATTGTCCTTCCACCTTTCTCCATACTTAGGTAATAAGACACCAAGCATTTTTTTAAAATGCACTTGTCTTCCAAAAATTCTGTCGCCCTCCTCGAGTCCCTTTACTGCAAGAAAAGCAAAGTGACGAAGAAACAGAAAGAATGAACAAATCAACAAATAGAACGAAAGTAGGTCTGGTCCCCCTCAAACAAGAAGCTTTCAACCCACCCAAGAAGTGACCCTATGCTGAATGAGATTCAAAAGGATTAAAACTGTCTGATTTGCATTATAAGATAGTGGTGCTAGATAAGGAAAAGTATTACGTTGTTTGTTTTTTAATTGCTATTGTTGCACTGAAAACACAGATATTATTTCAATCAACGAGTGCTAGCCAGCTAAAAATAAACCCTGTTAATGCACAAAACCATTGGGCTGCATGCAGAGAAAGGTCACAGAATTTAATACACAGAGAGAGAGAGACAGAGCCACATGTTCTACAATGTGCTCTCAGGCAGAAGAGATGGCGAGTCTAAGAACCTTTAAACAAGATTCATAACAATGTATTCTCGAAGGCTTTCATGGTGGGGATCTGATGGTTGTTGTGGGTTTTTCGGGCTCTTTGGCCGTGTTCTGAAGGTTGTTCTTCCTAACATTTCGCCAGTCTCTGTGGCCAGCATCTTCAGAGGACAGCACTCTTTGCTCATATTGTCTCTGTGCTGTCCTCTGAAGATGCCGGCCACAGAGACTGGTGAAACATCAGGAAGAACAACCTTCAGAATATGGCCAAAGGACCCGAAAAACCCACAACAACCACAAGATTCATATCACTTTTACTGACTGACCGAAGCTACTCTCTCTCTCTCTCTCTCTCTCTAAAAGCTATGTGATTCTTTGATGATTCTCCACTGGGGATAGCCACGAACATGCAACCATGCATTTATTTATGAGTGGACCCTGGGAAAAAAAAGCGGGTTGGTCCACGGATCTCATTTTGCCGAAACAAAACCAAGCACCAAACTTCTTTTCGCCCTACATTTCATTTTGCTTCAGCCCGCCCCTGACCCGGTCGTCTTCCTACCTGCTTCTGCTGTGTCCTCTGCCGCTACGTCCCTTCCGGAAGCCAGGCCTGCTGTCTCTGTTCGGGAGCCAGCCTATCAACTGATTTGTCAGTTTTCTGGTTCGTGCCCATCTCTGTTCTTCATAGGAGGTGATATGGGTTTCGTCCCAGGGCACCATAGTTCAGAGGATACAAAACACTGTTGATGGAAGTGCGTGGAATTCTGCCTGGGAAATTCTGGGAATTGCAGTCCGATTCTGGGAGGTGCCAAGGGAATTGTGGGAGTAACAGTCCAAAGACAGGAATCTGCACATACCCAATGAGGTCCCTGGAACTTTCTCCAGCCACAATGGAGGGGCAACAGTTGAATTTTTGAGCAACAATGGACATTCCTTGCTACCTTGATTTATTGCCATTCATTTCCAATCCTTTTTTTAAAGCATCATTCACAAATGAATGAAAGATTTAATGAATTGTGCCCATTGTTTTAATGAGTGGGCACTGGAAAATTAAATTTCTCTAACTATTCAGTGATAATGTGTTGGGGATAAGCCAGACATTTCCAAGGTCTGCTCAGAAGGACATGATTGTCCTTCCAGCTTGCCGGAACAAGCTGTGGAACTCCTTGCCACAGGAGGTGGTGATGGCATCTGGCCTAGATGTCTTGAAAAGGGGACCGGAAACATTTCTGGAAGAAAAGTCCATAGCAGATGACAAGCCGTGATGGGGATGTAGAATCTCCAGGCTTAGAAGAAAGGTCCCTCCAAAGGCCAGATGCAGGGGAGGGGGATCAGGAGACAGGTCTCTTGTTGTCTCATTTGCTCCCAGAGGCATCTAGTGGGGCCATGGTGAGATCCAGGAAGCTGGACTAGATGAGCCCTCAGCCTGATCCAGCAGGGATCTTCTGATGTTTTTATGATGGGCTTTGTCCTTTCCTTCTGTGCTTCTCTGAGGTATAATAAAGGTAAAGGTAAAGGTAAAGGTTCCCCTTGACATTTTTTGTCCAGTCATGTTCGACTCTAGGGGCCGGTGCTCATCCCCGTTTCCAAGCCATAGAGCCAGCGTTTGTCCAAAGTCAATCTTCCATTGTCACATGGCCAGTGCGACTTAGACACGGAATGCTGTTACCTTCCCACCGAGGTGGTCCCTATTTACCTACTCGCATTTGCATGCTTTCGAACCGCTAGGTTGGCGGGAGCTGGGACAAGCGACGGGCGCTCACTCCGTTGCGTGGATTCGATCTTACGACTGCTTGGTCTTCTGACCCTGCAGCACAGGCCTCTGCGGTTTAGCCCGCAGCGCCACCACGTCCCTGAGGTATAATAACTGCCCAAGTTTGCCTGCTACTTGAGGTGGGAAAGGAAACACCCATTATAATCTAAGATGGACAGATGACACTTTCAGGAGCTCATTGGTGCTAGAGATGAACGTTTTTTCTTCCGGACAGGTGTTCAGCCCTTCCTGTCAAACTGACGGATAAACACCTACACAGTTGGGGCTCCCAGAATGGAGAATTCTGGGGTTTATAGTCAAAACAACAACAACAGCCTGGATGGTATGTCCCTGAGATGCAAAACTTGGCACCTCATCAATAACTACAATTTCATGTGGCAATTTATGCACACCTATATAAACACAGGAGTCCAGTTGCTAGATTTATCCCTTCCAGTTAGGTTTTAGGTCATAACATTGCAACGATGTTGGGACAAAGCCCAAGCACACAAAATAATAATTGTTAATAAGTAAAAGTTGTAAAAATATTGGCTAAGATCCTCCTGTGTCAACTGTGCTACTCTAAGGGAAATGAAGTCACCTGTAGATTGCTATAATGTTAAGAGTTCTTGCTTTGACTCTTTGGTACTTCCATGTAATCTCACTGTGCTAAAGCCCACTGGCTCAGCATGGATTCACAAGTGAGACTCTTTAATTAGTGGCAATTGGCAGGTATAGGCTATGTCATTTCCTTTACACCAGCTTAACTTACACAAGAAGATTTTGGTCACAATAGATTAAAAAATATTTACTGCTATGATAACTGTAAAGTGCAAAGATCCTAAGTATAGGAATTCTTATGAAACCCCTGCTTATACTGATTTTATATCTTATCAATGCTAGGTGAACCACTGATTTAAGGCATATTTTTAAAAACAGCTATAAAATAATTGGTGAACCTTAGCTTAAAGCAGCCACACCATAGCAGCAACATGAGGTGCATTGGTTTGTCATTAAAATTTTTCAGCCAGCCCTGTGTTTGGGGTTGGGGAGAGAAATTTCAGCTCATTCTAATACAGTGGTGCCTCGCATAACGAGTGCACCGTTTAACAACGAATCTGCATAGCAATCTATTTTTTTAGATCGCTAATGCAATCGCATTGTGATGTTCTGAATAGGCATTACGATGTTTTTTTAAACAGCTGATCGGTAGTTCCAAAATGGCCGCCGGGTGCCCAAAATGGCTGCCGCAAGTGTTTTCGCGCCCTGCCCTCGCTTACCGAGGGTGCGAAAATGGCGGCGCTATGGAGGAACTTCGCTCAATGGTGAGTTTAGGAGCCATAGGAACGCATTAAACGAAGTTTAATGCGTTCCTATGGCTTTTTCCGTTCCGTTTAGCAATGTTTCTGCATAGCGACGATTAATCCGGAACGGATTAACGTCGCTATGCGGGGCACCACTGTAATGAGAGGAACAATTCAGTTCATCTTGGGGAGGGGGAAATGAAAAATCTCCTTTTTTGTTCCTTTTCTTTTTCTTACATTGCAAATTTGGGCATATTCTCTGCTCTGCGCTATTTGAGTAAAGTCAGAAAATGCACTTGATCCTAGAGAATGGCCAAGTTTATGTCCAGAAGAAACCCACCATGTACCCGCCATGGAACAGCACCTTTGATGCTCACATTAACGTCGCTATGCGGGGCACCACTGGAATGAGAAGAACAATTCGGTTCATCTTGGGGAGGGGGAGAAGAAAAATCTCCTTTTTTTTGTTCCTTTTCTTTTTCTTACATTGCAAATTTCGGCATATTCTCTGCACTATTTGAATAAAGTCAGAAAATGCATTTGATCCTAGAGAATGGCCAAGTTTATGTCCAGAAGAAACCCACCATGTACCCGCCATGGAACAGCACCTTTGATGCTCATATTCGCAAGGGCCGCGTCATGGACATCATTGTGAAGGATAAGAGCGCAGAGATGGTCTCGGAAACGACAGTGGAGCTCAACTCGGTGGCCGACAAGTGCAGGAAGAACAACGGGAAAACAGAAATGTGGGTAAGCATAAGAGCCCACCCCAGATATTTTTCAAGGTCTTCATAGAATCATACAATAGTGGAGTTGGAAGGAGGCCTCTGAGGCCTTTGAGTCCAACCATCTGCTCCATGCAAGAATGCAAATCAAAGCACATCCAACAGGTGGCTATCCAATATCCTCTTGAATCCTTCCAACATTCAAGCATTCACCACCTCCTGAAGTAATTGGTTCCATTGTCACACTGACAGTTACGAACTTTTTCCTAATATTCAGCCTAAATCTGGCTTCTGGTAACTTGAGCCCATTGTTGCGTGTCCTGTGCTCGGGGATGATTGAAAACAGATCCTGCCCCTCCTCTGTTTAACCATCTTTCAAGTATTTGGAAAGTGCTACCCTTCAGGTGGTGCAGAATGCTGCGGCCAGACTCCTTACCGGAGTGAGAAAATACCAACACATTTCTCCAACGCTGGCCGCATTGCATTGGCTGCCCATCCGTTTCCGCATCGACTTCAAAGTTCTAATGCTTACTTATAAGGCCCTAAACGGTTTAGGACCTCGATACTTGGCGGAACGCCTGCTCCCACCTAGGTCTACCCGGATCACCCGCGCGAGTCTGGAGGTGAGGCTGAGGAGCCTGACGCCGAGAGAGGCCCGGAAGGAGAAGACACGAAACTGGGCCTTCTCGGCGGTGGCTCCTCGCATCTGGAACAACCTTCCTCCAGAGATTCGTGCAGCCCCTATGCTGGGTGTTTTTAAAACTCAATTAAAAACATGGTTATACATCCAGGCCTTCCCTCCAATCAATTCCTGATTCCTTTTCTAATTTCCCTTATATTCCTTTTTATCTGTTGTGATTGTAATTATTATTTATGTTTATGCACATTTTGTTTTTTAATTGTATTTTATTCTTATTATATGTTGGAAGCCGCCTAGAGTGGACTTATAGTCCAGATAGGCGGGATATAAATCAAATAAATAAATAAATAAATATATTCCC